TGTCCTGAAATGGAGAGTTCCAACGTCGTATTGCCTATGTGCGAAGCGAACTGAAACCGATTCGCTCGGCGATTCGCCCTCGTCGTCCTCCCCCTCCCCCTTCGAAGATTCGCTGCGCGGAGGGATTGGCAGCGTCGAAACTGCGATGCAATTTTTGGGTTGGGGTCGTCTGAATGCCACGCAGCAGAGAAGAACGCGCGCTTCCCAGGCGGATGCGCACCGCGCTGTCCTGGCCAAGCCGCGACGTCGAGAGGGCGCGCGCTATCCCGATGGAGAGATGTCCTATCTTGCCCAGCGCTTGCCTTTCTCCGCTGTTCTTTCCATTCCTAGACTTCGTTTTCCTGTCCGCCGTTGTCGCAGTCGTTGCCCCGCGTTCCCCCATGTCCTGAACTATTTGCGCGTGGCGAAGGTCGGCTGGGTTGCGGGGCTGAGGGCTGACGTAGATAGGCCCCAACGTGTGCCCGCCAGAACGGAAACCCTGGGTCGGGGGTCCTGGAAGGGGTGGGTGAATTATGCTCGTGGTTCGTCTAGGGGCTTCGCCCATCGCGCTGAGCGCTGCGCCTTCGCCAGCTTTTTATATCCCTTGGCCAATGCGAGCGTGCCCGACACCGTGGAGAGATGCGCAGTATGTTTCAGGGCTGCGCCCTCGACTTCGAAGTATCTCAGCCTCGAAGTGCTGAAGATGATCGCAGTGACCGCCTCCAGTTCGCAAGTTGCGAGCGCGGCCCCCCGCGCGCCGCCGCGGCGGCCCTTTTTGGCCCGCCGCGCGAAGACCCACCGCCGTGACGAGCGCCCTGAAGGGTGGCTCTCAGGATCGCTGTGCCAAGTTTGCTGGACTGAGTTTCATGGCCTCGCCCGTTTGCTCAAACGCGTGGCACGACGCGCGTCGCGTCCTCCTGCCCGGCGGGACAGTGGAATTGCCATCGGCCGCGCGGAGCAGGGAATGGGGGATTGCAAACGTATCCATCGCGCGAATAGAGTCAGGGGGCTCCGCGATAACTATGCTCATCGCCATTCCCGTAAATGTACCCATGGTCCTGCCATTCCACGCCGATTGCCCAGTGTTCCAGTGCGCGGGCCTCCTCTTCTTGCCACTTGCCCGGCCAACCTCTTCTAACCAGCAGGAGGACGAGCGGCCCCCAGGGCAATGGCCCGAAGATGTGTCCAATCAGGGGACTCCGTGTATCTTGGCTGTTGACGGGGGCGAGGACGTTTCTCACATTGTCCTTGCTCGTAAATGTGCCTTGTCTGCGTTGCCTGGCCAAGTCTAGGTGATTCGCTTCGTTTGACGAGTATGGAATATGCCGAGGCCAAACTTTGGGCTAAGAGAATCCTCGACGGGAGTGTTCTGGCGGTGGTTGGGGCCCCTCCGAGGACTCTTGGGGCCCTGGGCGTTTCGTGCTTGGCTGTGGCCCTCTTCGTCGCCCCCTCCGCTCCCTCTGCCACCCCCGGGGCCTTGCCGCCCTCCACCCCGCCGAGTGCGCTAGTGTGCGCGAGGGAAATCGCCAGTTGAGGATGACCACCACCATTTCTTACGCCGCGGTGGAGGCTCACGTGTTTCGGCTGATCACTCATGTTGCCATCGATTTGTCCACGCCGTTTCCGTGGCTCCAAGGTAATGTCAGATGGGCACGTATGTCTTCGCGCGCTGCTTTTACTTCGTACCCCTCTACCCGCTTCCGAGGAGTAGCTGAGCAGGCGTTACTGACCAGTGGAATTCTTGACGCTTCGCGTATCCCCACCAGCCCATCCAGAAACGATGTCCAGACAAGTTCAAGATATCAGGGAAGTGGGGGAGCAACGAGAGGGACAGCCGATCCGTGCAAAGGATGAGGCGGAAGAGGAGGCCAGATGGATAGATGAGGGGGTGGCGAGGAACCGAGCAAAGGAGGGATGAGGAGAATGATGACGCTGGGTGGATAGTCGAATGCCGTTCAGATGCCTCTTGGAAGCCTTTTGGAAGCCTCTTCGGGCGTCTTGGGGGTCTCTTGGCGGTCAATGGGGGCTCTTGGGCGTCTTGGGTGCTTCGGGGGGGTCTCTTGAGGCCGCTTGGGGTCCTCTTGGGGGGCTCTTGGGGGCCTGTTGGAGGCCACTTGGGGCCTCTTGGGGGTCTCTTGGAGCTTCATGGCGGCCTCTTGGGGCCTCTTGGAAGCCTCTTGGAACCATCCTGGGAGCCTCTTGGGGGCTTTTTGGGGCCTCGTGGCGGCCTCTTGGGGCCTCTTGGAGGCCTCTTGGGAGCCTCTTGGGGCCTCCTGGGCGCCCTTCGGGGCCATCTTGGAAGCGATCGATCCAAGAACAGGGTGGAGTTAATTAACCTTGCCCCCCCAAGAGGCCAACATGGGGCAGTAAAACCGATGATGTTGGCTTCCTCGCCGAGGCCGTTTTGGACGCTCCAACTACCAGCGAACCCCCCGTCCAGGTCCAGGGGAGGGGGTCAGGGGGAGGGGTAAACCCGTCCCCGAAGGGGAAGAAAGAGGGGTGGAAGAGGAAATTCCCTAAACCACCTACGCCCAGAGGGCTGGTGGGATTTTCTGATGGTTGGAAGCAAGCCTTTTTTTTGTAATTTGCATAATGAGGTTTGTGAAAGGGGGGCCAGGACGCATGAGCACGATCCTGCCATCGCCGCCATTGTGCCCTCATCGATCTCTCACGTGGCGGGAACCGTGATGTGTCACCCCTTATGGGGAGCAGGCTACCAGTTGCCTTGAGAGCGGGGGGGTGTCGGTCGTTTCTCGTCCTCCTTCCTTAGATTGCATGAGCTAACGCTTTGTATTTGCCCCGCATGGTTCGTGGGGTTTGGGTTTTCTTCCCTGCCGCGTCGCACCCGCGTCTCCCGCGCACATACCTCCCTCTCTTTCTCCTTCTCCTCACACACAGACGCACGCACAGACATCACTTGCGCAGCACAGCGCAGTACAGCACAGCACAACACAGCACAGCAGACCGCAGCACAGCACAGGACACTGCAGCGCATCACAGCACAGCTCAGTTCAGCAGAGCACAGCACAGCACAGTACAGCACAGCACGCTCAGTCGTCCAGGGCATTGCAGGCGTGGCACTTTCTCGACGCCATAAATGGGGTGCGCAAGGGGTGGTCTCCCTATCCGCGCCGGTCCTCCAGGGCATAGCATGCGTGGCACATTTTCGACACCACAGGGGGGTGCGCAGGGGGTCGTTTCCCTATCCGCGCCGGTCGTCAAGACATAGAAGGCGTGGCACTTTGTCGACACCACAACGGGTGCGCAGTGGGTGGTATCCCAATCCGCGCCGGTCGTCCAAGGCATCGCAGGCGTGGCATTTTCTCGACACCATAGGGGGTGCGCAAGGGGTGGTCTCCCTATCCGCGCCGGTCGTCCAGGGCATACCAGGTGTGGCACTTCTCTCCACGCCATGGGGGCGTTGCGCAGGGTGTGGTCGCTCTATCCGCGCCGGTCGTCCAGGGCATAGCAGGCGTGGCATTTTCTCGACACCATGGGGGGTGCGCAAGGGGTGGTCTCCCTATCCGCACAGGTCGTCCAGGGCATACAGAACGTGGCACTTTTTCGACACCACAGGGAGTGCGCAAGGAGTAGTCTCCGTATCCGCGCGGGTCGTCCAAGGCATAGCAGGCGTGGCATTTTCTCGACCCCAAAGGGGGTGCGCAAGGGGTGGTCTCCCTATCCGCGCCAGTCGTCAAGGCATAGCTGGCGTGGCACTTTCTCGACACCATGGGGGGTGCGCAAGTGGTGGTCTCCCTACCCGCGCCGGTCGTCCAGGGCGTGGCACTTTCTCGACACCATGGGGGGTGCGCAAGTGGTGGTCTCCCTATCCGCGCTGGTCGTCCAAATCATAGCCGGCGTGGCACCTTCTCGACACCACAGGGGGTTCGCAAGGGGTGGTCTCTCTATCCGCGCCGGTCGTCCAGGGTATAGCAGGCCTGGCATTTTCTCGACGCCATAGGGGGTGCGCAGGGGGTCGTTTCCCTATCGGCGCCGCTCGTCCAGGGCATAGCAGGCGTGGGACTTTCTCGACACCGTGCGAGGTGCGCACGGGGTGGCCTCCCTCTCCGCGCCGGTCCTCCCGCCTGCCCGACCGTGCCCTCCCGCCCCCGTGCTCCCCCCCGCGCCCCTCCGCCCCGTGCCCCCGTCTGCTAATTCCGACCGACCAACCGACCGTGCCTTTCCCTTCCGACCCGTGGCCCCCGCCGACCGACCGTGCCCCCCCTCCATTCTCCCCGGCCACCCTTTTGTTCCTCCACTTCCGCCCCGTGGCCCCCTCGCCTGCTTATTCCGACCGACCGACAGTGCCCTCCCCTGCTCCAGCCGTGCCCATGGCCCCCCCCACGATAGTCCAAAAAGGCCCCAGGACAGCTCAAGCTCAAGATTTCCCCAAGACAGCCCCAAAGAGCCCCAGACGGGCCCACACAAAACCCCCAATAAGCCCCAAAGACGCCTAATATCACCTTGGCCCCGAGGAATCATAGAGACGCCACTCGCTCACATTGGCACAACAAGTTTTTCACGCCATAGCTAAGCGCGTCGCAGCACTCGCGCGTTTCCTGAAACTACCACAGGTTAGCGCTACCTCCATTTCCCAGTGTCCCACATCCGTAATTGTATGATCCTTGGCTTGTGTTTATGGCAAAGAAGGGAGGAGGAGGAAGAGGAGGAGGATGAGGAGGATGAGGAGGAGGAGGAGGAGGAGGAGTAGGAGGAGGAGGAGGAGGAGGGAGTAGGAGGAGGAGGAGGAGGAGGAGGAGGAGGGCGAAGGAAAGGCGATGAGGGAGGAGGAGGAGGAGGAGGAGGAGGGAGGAGGAGGGTAGGAGGAGGAGGAGGAGGAGGGGTAGGAAGCGGAGGAGGAGGAGGTGGTGGTGGGGATGGGGTATGAGGAGGGACCGCGACGAAAGTACGCTCTTTGAGCTGCCAGGGGGCAAGGTCCTATGCTCGGCCTTGAACCTTCGAAACGTGGCGCCACCACGGTGTGCCCGCTACCGCGGGCCGTGCGTATTCACCGTCGGCAG